AAAGTAATCCGGTTATGAGGCTAAAAAAAGTTCATATTTGATAAATAATGACAGAGGCGGATATTTAAACTTATAACACAATAATTTTCATCCAGTGTCGTAGATAACCGTAGTAAGAAATTCTGAAAAATCTTTTTTGTGCGGTGGTAATTGGGAAAAGTAATTAGGTTATCACTTATCAGGCAGTTATTTATAAATATCATTAAAAACTTACAATAAAATAATTTTCATCTAGTGCCGTAAATAACAGTGGTAAAAAATTGTAAAAAATAGTGAAAAATCATCTTTATGCGGTGGTAATTGCGAAGGAATTAGGTGATCAGACCGGATCCTTAGAGTCACGGATCAGACTAAAAGTAAGTTTTATCTGATAGATAATGACAGATGCGGATATTTGAAGGTTAGGTACAATTCAACAGTTTTCATCCAATGCTGTAGATAATAACAGTTATGAAAAAATTGTAAAAATAATTATTTGCGAGGTGGTCATTGGAAAAAGTAATTAGGTTACGGGCTAAAAAACATAACTTTTAACATACCTATCCAAAACTTGAAAATGATTATTAATATTACCCTAAGTTATACTGTTTACTGTCCACTGTTCAGCTGCAGGACGATGATGTTGGGCATGTTAACTATATTCCACAATCTCGGTGAAGGATAATGTACTTCATTTCCTTGGTGCCTTCTGTATTCCAAATACCACAAAATGCAGGAGTTCTTGACACACAAACCCGGACTACACTTTAGACCAGTGGTAATAAGCTGCATCAACTCTCCAGGATATAACTTAGCTAAGTATCTACACATCCTCAACCCTCTAACATTTACGTTTTATTTTGATATTAAGGACTCTTTTCAGTTCGCTGAAATAATTAAACAACACACCATCCCAGATGGGCATGTTCTGGTCTCTTAAATATAATTAAGGAAAATTTTAAATTTATTTCCAACTATACAGTTATTGCCAGAAACAGCTTGACTGACTTGATGACTTACTGTTTTGACACCAGTTATTTCTCGTATGAACAAAATATCTATCTGCAATGGTCATCCCAGCCTCACCAATCTGATCTAACTTGGTAATGAACCACCCTATAACAGAAGTTTTGAAAAACCTACCATTCCTTTCATGTATGTATATGTGGATGATACAATATTGTCAGTACCCAAGAATGAACTGAATCTGACACTAGATAACAGTGGCGCACCCAGGTTTTTTTATTTGGGGGGGGTTTTCATAATGATGAAGGCTCGCCGCAGGCAGGCGCTGCCGTAGGCCGGCCACCATAGGATTTTTTTTTTCGGGTGTCACGCCCAAAAACGTTCATTTTAAGCCTTCAAAAAATAACTTTTTGTAAGTGATTGTATAGTCAGAGCTGCTGGACAACATGCGATTAATGATACCACATTGTCATGCAGATGGATCGTCCATGCTAAAACACAGGACTATAAACTCAACAATTGCTGAAACCTCTATTAAAGTAACCGCGACAAAAGGATGCCCACAAGGCTACATTACCCTAGGCTACGCGGATGACATTGTCGTTGTCATTAGGGGAGGATTTACCAAGACGGTATCAAACCTTATGCAGGACGCCTCAGGAATCATTGAGGAATGGTGCACGAGGGAGCAACTTCGCGTCAACCCCTCCAAAACAAAACTCTTTCCTTTCACGAGAAAAAGAAATCTGGAGAACTCAATCGGCCTCATCAGTCTATTCCAAAAAACCTTGGAGCTTGGCAGGGAAGCTAAATTTCTAGGCATCATCCTAGATATGAAGCTGGCATGGAACCAACACATTCAAAATATAATCACCAAAAGCAAGATGACGTTGATGTCACTAAAAAAAGCGATTGGGAAAACATGGGGACTAAAACTGTCAGTTGTACAATGGATATACACTACAGTTGTAAGACCAATAATAACATATGGTGCACTTGTATGGTGGCCTAGAGTAAACCAAAGACAAGCAAACCTGGAGCTAGCCAAAATCCAGAGACTTACGTGTCCAAAGAAGCACACCAACGGCAAGTATGTAAACCTCTGGGAGAGTACCTACACTACTCGTATTCCAAATAGAAATATATGCCATCGACTCCTGTCTGAGAGAAAACCTGAGGAGGAGGTACACAGGTAAAAACATCCTTATCTGCTCAGACGGTCAAGCGTCGAACAAAGCACTCAACAGCTTTGAAATAAAATCCAAACTGGGAATGCTTGGAAAACCTCAAAAACCTAAGTATGGCCAACAAGATAACCCTTAAATGGGTGCCAGAGCATAAAGGAATTGGAGGAAATGAAAAAGCAGATGCTCTGGCAGTTATACTGGTCCTGAACCGGCAATTGGCACCACAAAATCATCGGTTAGAACAAAAATAAACCAATGGGTGTATAGACAACACAAAATCTACTGGAAAACTCTTCCGAAGCTCAGACACAGTAAGCTAATGGTACAAAAACCATCACCTAAACTTACTGAAGAAATCCTACAAACTAAACAGGAATCAAATCAGGCTAATAACTGGACTTATTAACCCAAAATCGCAAAAAAATATTTTACCGGAAAATTCTGCTAAATTTCGGGGGGGGTTTTAACTCCCAAAACCTCCCCCTTGGGTGCGCCACTGCTAGATACTTTCAATAAATTTCACCAATCACTGCAGTTCACCATGAAGATAGAAACTGATAATAAACTGTGCTTCCTGGACATGGAAATCCACCACAAACCTAATGGTACCTGGCTGACAAATTGGTATTCTAAACCCACTAGTTCAGGTAGAATTCTCAACTACCTATCCAACCACCCAACATCCAATAAAGTGGGCATAATAAGTGGGCTTTTACATAAAGCTCTTGATTTGAGTGACCCTGAATTTTCAAGGCAAACATTAAAAAATAAAGATAATCCTATCAAATAATAATTATCCATTGAACTTTATTTAGAGAAGCATAGAAAGATTTAAAAACAAAACTTGTAACCCTATGAAAAAAGAGACCAAATATTTCAAATTCCCCTTTCTAGATGGCTTTTCGCACAAAAATCAGAAATCTGAGGTTTCAATGGCCTTTTACAACCCCAAAACTACAAATTATCTGTTCACACATATCAAAGATAAGGTACCCCAGGGTAAAAAGAGCTCTTTGGTCTACAAAAATGAACTTATTTTCAGCCTGATACTGATTCACTTTTTCTAATTACTACCGTACAAAGAAAATTTTTAACAATTTTTCAATATTTCAATGTGCAAAAACAATGGAAACTTGTATTTTGATGGCCGTAACTTTGATATACCACTGTCGCCCATTTGCACCGCTATAACTTAAGGGATATTTAATCCAAGTGAAACTTTGAATGTGACTCTTGTAGAAACATAAGTCACATTCAAAGCTCCACTTAGATTAAATATCCCTTAAGTGATAGCCGTGCAAATGGCCATGTAGTAGCCAAATGGGGGGAGCCCAAGGGCGCCCACAGGGAGAGTCAGGGGGGATCACTCGACCCCCCCTGAAAATTTCTTAAATTTTAATTATTTTCTATATATATTATATTGTAGGTCCGATGATGCTCGTATGAGCGAAACAGGCATACTTGAATTCGGCCACAAACCAGGTAGCTGCAGTAATCCTACCTTTGAATTCGACCAAATCATCCCATAAAACTTACCTTATGATGTTGACAGATTTCGCATTGCATATGAGTTAATAAATCTAAAAAAGTGTAAATATGTATTTTGATGCGCAAAATAAAAAGATCTACCAAAATGACTATGGAAAGATTCACAGGGATTTGTTGTCTTATCCAGGTCTATCGAGGCATGTGCCATGTGTCGATGAGATAATCTGAAAATTTAACTAGAACTTCGTGAATCGGCTGAATAGCTAACAACTCGAAAACAAATAAATCGCTAACTTCTTGATTCTCCAAAAACATCATTCCAAAACAATTATTATGTAACGATTTACCGATTTCTGAATCTTTTTTTTATATTCAATGCTTGAGCCTAAGTTTTGGATCTACCTCTACCATGCCTGAGATTTTAGCTATTTATAAGAAGTAATTAAGTTGATTTAATATCTATATCTCAGTGTACCGATTTGCATATTGATAAATTGTCATCCTTTCCTTATTCCGGAACTGGTGAATTTTGTGGCTGAGTTCAAGGATCCCGGAGCTATTAAGTGAATCAAATAATAAACAATCTGTGTGTTAACATGTGGCTTTTCAAATTATGTTTTTGCTTAAATTTTGCATTGCAAGTGTCACATTCAAATGGATAAATATCCGAATGTGTTAGTTTGTGAATCTTTAAATTGGCTTTCCATTTAAATTTTGATTTGCAAGTGTCACATTCAAAAGGATAAATATCCGAGTGTGTTGAAATGTGCCTTTGTAAATTACTTTTCTTCAAATTTTGCCTTGCAAGTATCACATTTAAATAGATAAATATCCGAATGTGTAAGTTTGTGTATCTTCAAATCGCGTTTCCGTTTAAATTTTGATTTGCAAATGTCCCATTCAAAAAAATTAAATATCCAAGTGTATCAATATGTGTTCCTTCAAATCGCCTTCTCTTTTCAATTTTGCATTGCAAATGTTACATTCGAAATTCTCCTCATCAGAGTATGTTAATATGTGGCTTCTCAAACTACGTCTGTGTTCAAATTTTGCATTGCATGTGTCACATTTAAAAGGATAAATATCAGACTGTGTTAGTTTGTGTCTCTTTAAACAGTCTTTTCCTTTGAATTTTGCTTTGCAAATGTCACATTCAAACAGACAACTATCGAAGTCTGTTGATATGTGACTTCTCAAATTACTTTTTTGTTTAAATTTTCCTAATTTAAATTTTGCATTGCATATGTTGCATTTAAAATTCTTCTCGTCCAAGTGTGTTAGTTTGTCTCTTCAAACTGCCTTTTTTTTAAATTTTGCTTTGCAAATGTTGCATTTAAAATTCTGATTCTGCTTCTAAAATGATAATTTAGACTGAAGTGTCCTTTTTTACGCATAAAAAATTTATTCAATTGATTTTGACCCCCCCTACATATTTTTCTGCGGGCGCCCCTGGGGGAGCCACCATATTCTAACTTACTTTTTTGTGAGTTACTTATCCATACCTACAACATATTAAAATTTAGAGAAAATCGTATGGTTCCAAAATTCTTATGTATCAGGTACGGGGTCCTTTAATTTCAACCATAAACTTTTATTTGAGACACTTCTTTCTAAAATATCAAATAAAAAAGGGAGAAGGAGGTGACAATTATAACCAGTAACCCTGTACAACCTCACACCCTGTATTATCACAATAATTTTGGAAGTTCGTGACAAAAACTGTCATATTTGACATTGTAACCTTTTTGAAAATTGATCAAAGAGTCACTTTAAAATAAAAAGAAATGACCCATTCAGCCGATATATTCCAAATATCCAAAGAAATTGTGTTCCCTGACGAATCAAATAGATATTTGAAGGAACAAATAACGGTAATGAATTATAATTTTTATAGAATTATATAGGAAAATAATGAATCAGAAAAACATAATTTTACAGGGTTTTATGCATGAAAACCAAATGCTACGCAAAAACCTGGAAGAATCTACACAAAAATATAAAAATCTTCAAAACCGCAATGAAGATCTTAAAAATAAACTTAAAGAAGACTCAATAATGCCTTTGATGCAACAAAGTCCGAGCATAAACAGTAAAATAGTCGAACTGAGCAAAAATTTAAGAGAAAAATGCGTAGAACTTGAAAAATACAAAACGAAACATTCAAAATTAGTCGCTCAAATAGAAGAACTAAAACAAACTAAAACTTATACTGAAGAATCAAAACCCAATAATGAAATAATTGAAATCAAACAATTAAAAGAAAAACTTCGAAGAACAAACAATAAAATACTCGAATACAAAAATATACACAACCAATTAAAGGAAGAACTTAAACAAGCCAAAAAATTAATAGAAGAAGAAATTGGCCTTTCCAATAATAACCATAAAAGCCGATTACAAATTATAAAAGAATTACAAGAAAAAAACAAAAAACTAAAAGACAAATTAAAAGTTTTGGATCCATCGCCCTCACAAAAACTGATCACCAATCCAGAAAAACCTAAAATAGCGGCCCTAGAAAATCAACTAACCGAACTAGAAGAACAAAATCAATCGTTGAAATTCAAAAACAACTCCCTCAAAGCCAGATGCAAGATGCTAGAAGTGCAACAGCAAGATTTAAAAGTAAAACTGCAAAAAAACGATGAAAAATGCCTCAAAGAACATTTAAATGTCATTGAGAATTTGTCCAAAAGTTTATCCGATAGTGAGAACATAAAAAAAACCCTAATCAAAGACAAGGATTCGGAAATGAGAAAACTAAAGAAACAAATCGACGATGTAACGGAGCAAGTGCAAAACTACAAAAACCTCATACAAAACCTTAAAGATCGACAGCAGAATAATTGTGAAGCCGAAAATGAAGCAACTGCAGATTTGCAAGAAGAAAAATCCAAACTTTTAAAACTAATAAAACAACAAAACGAAAAACTAGATGAGGAACGTAACAACTTGAACAAATGCCAGCAATTGCTTAGAATCAAACAGCAAAAAACCGTTAAACTTGAAGCTGCGATCGCTCAATCCGAAGTTGTGGATTCCGTAAGATCCCGACACAGTTATACGTCACTATTACAAAAAAACTCCGAAACTGATTTGAAAAATCAATTGGAATTGGCTCAGGAAACTATTAAAAGCTTGCAAGATAGATTGCAAGTGGAACAGAGCGAACGCAAACGGGATTTTCAAGAGTTTTCAAAGATTTTGTTGAGTGAAAAGTAACTTAAAATAAATTATTATTGGGTTTTAACGTTTTTGTATCCTAAGTTCATAGCCCAGTCGAATTGTCAATAAAATGGTCAAATAAATAAAAGAGTTAGGATAGGGTAGAGTTTTAATTTCTTAGTATATTGTGTTGGTCGGCTATTGAGGTGAAGAAGGAGGTGAAAACGATATGAATTGTTACAATGGAACTTAATGAGTGACAGAAAGAAATAATGGACTGTCTGAAGAACGAGGAGGATTTTGTAGCAGTAGATATAGGCATCGACTGAATTAAAGAATAAAGAGAGGAAAAACTCTCAGGCCTGCCCGACTTATTGTCCCCATGTAGCACTGAAGTCACTGAAGTCATTATTATTCACTAGCTAATGGTCTTGAAATTTCTTCCTTCCAGGTAACTTTTAATTCTCCACAAAAAAGTTCTTTTGAGTTTTTTTGATATAATGCATAATTTACGAAATATTCAATAAATTCCAAAAAAATCAAGATGGCGGCCATTTTTTCCAAGTTCCACCAATGCGACAAAGTGCGATTTTTGAAGGATTAGTTAGGACCCTTATATTGACTACTCATTTCCGCAGAGATCACTTTGTTACTAATTTTTTTCTACCCCAACCACCTATTTTGACTAGCCTACACATTGAATTATCAAATTACTATCCAAGTCTTTTTGCTCCTTTTTGTTTAGTTGTTTTTTTATGCTTTGCAGTTCAACCTGAAGTTTTTCGTTGATTTCTGTAGTTGCTCATTGAACTTCGCAAACAGTGCGTTGTATATATTTTCCTTCCATTGAGTTTATATTAACTTGTCCATAATATCATCCAAGGTGCAGTTCTTTTGCACTTGTTTTGTTTTGGCATTTTTCCCATTGTTGCTATTATCACATTCTTGACAAATCCAAGGTTAGCTAGAATTACTTGTCCTCTGGTAAGTCCTTTGAACCATTCTCAGTGTTGCCAATGACCCGATAATTATCGAATTCTACCATAATTTTGACTACGATTCAATAATCGATAATGACAAGCTAATCTACCATAATTTATTGAAACTACAATAATTTTAATATAGATTTTTCAAATTTTTAGTTAAAAATTAAAAATTTATTAAAAAATTAAGAGTGGTTGTTGGTTTTGAGTGTTTTGACGTACTGGTGCGAGCACCAAACACTAGTCCCAGATTGAACCAAAGTTTCATGCCAATAACTTTACTGGTTTCCAAAATATGGCCCTTTGAAATATTTGAAAATCAAATTCCCATGCATACCCCTTTTGAAAAATTCGAATTTTTAAATTTTTAGATTTTGCAATGTTTGACTTTACCAATCAAAAGAGGGGATCAAAATTAAGGAAAAAGCATTTTTGCAACTTTGTTTTTAGAGTTTTAAAGCCTTGTAAAAAAAGAAAAACGATTTTTGCAATTTTTGGGCGCAAATTTTTTTTAATAATCTGACATTCTTTCACAAAGTTGCTTATTACTCAGTTATTATTGTAACAAATATAATGTAAAATTATATATTCTGAATCAGAATTAAATTATCTTCAAGATAAAATAATATTCAATTTTATATCTTAGATATTTCTGAAGATATTGAGGCTCAAAGTTGAAACTTAACCTCAAATTTTGCAAAAGCTTCCAGGCAGATTATCTTGAAAACGAAGCCCTTGGGCTCGGAGTCTTAATTAACCTTTTTTGTAGCCCTTATTAAGAGCTACAACTGGGCAAAAGATTCATGCCAATAACTTCACTGGTTTCCAAAATACAAGCATTTGAAATATTTGAAAATCCAATTTCCATGCATACCCCTTTGGAAAAGTTCGAATTTTTAAATTTTTGGATTTTGCAATTTTTGACTTTACTAATCAAAAGAGGAGGTGAAAATTAGTGGAAAAGCAGTTTTGCAACTTTGTTTTTACATTTTAAAGCCTTGTAAAAAAAATAAAAACGATATTTGCAATTTTTGGGCTCAAAAAATTTCAATAATCTGACATTCTTTCACAAAATTGCTGATTACTCGGTTATTATTATAACAAATATGATGTTAAATTATATATTCTGAATCAAAATTAAACAATCTTCAAGATAAAATAAGATTCAATTCTACAGTGTGATTTTTTAGGTGTGCAACATATGGGGATTTTTTTTAGTAATAGCACAACCCAAATACAAACAAGGCCAAAAGTTGGTGCATGTCTGATAATCATATTAGGTGCACTTAGAAAGGTTGCAAGCAGGGCCGTCTTAAGGCATAGGCCCGCTGGGCCCGGGCCCAGGGCCTCAGCGCCAAGGGGGCCTCATCGCCTCCACGCCCCATTTAAAATAAATTTTATAGAAAAAAAATGGGAAAAAAAATATAGGCGGGTAGCGATAGAATGCAACTTCCACAATGTCACAATTTACTTTGACTTTGTTCGAAACCTCTACGATTTCTTTTCCTCGTCAATGCACCGTTGGGAAATGAATTCAAATTTAAGTTCCGATCATAAAGTACTGAAAAGCTTATCAAAAACACGTTGATCTTCACGTGAAGAATAGATGCATATACGAAAATGTCTCTTCCCGCACACGTTAGGAAAATAGCTATTACCTATGAGCGTGCGGTAAAGTGCATTTTTCCGCCCTTATTTGCAAATGGAAAGTAGCACTTTACCACGTAGCATGCGGTAAAGTGAACTGCAAAATGTGAGGTAAAGTAGACTTTGGTATTTATTTATTTATTTATTTATTTATTTTTATTTATTTATTTTATTTATTTTATTTATTTCACATTACATTATATATAAAAAAATATACAAAATATGAAGTGAAATATCGTCATTAATTATTTACCACTTACTACTACTAAAGTACCAAGTGGTAACTTCTCAACAAAAGATTAGTAAATTAGCTGAAACCACTGACTTATTAACAACTAGACATTTTTAACCTATTCACTACTTAATATTATCTACGTAAGTAGTCATCCATACTATATGGTTCCAAGTTGATTAAGAGGGCTTTTAGCTTTCTTTTAAAGATCCTTTCTGTAGTTATACTTTTTGTACTTTCATCTAACTTGTTGAAAAGTCTTATTCCCATATAGTATGGATGCTTGTCTGACAATGTCAGCCTATGCACAGGAAAATTGATATTGTTAGTGCGTGTATTATGACCTAGAGCATTGAAGATATCTTTATTTTTAAATACAAACATAATAGTTTCAAATATATATAAGGCGAAAATAGTTAACAAATTTTTAGATCTGAAAACACCTCGACAGGATTGTAGAGGAGGCATTTTGTAGATAGTTCGAATCACCCTTTTTTGAACAGTAAAAATGTCCTGCACCCCAGAGTTTGCTGCCCAGTAGATTATGCCGTTCCTAGCTGTACCCTCATAGTTTGCAAAATACAGAGTTCTTTTTGCAGGTTCATCCAAATACCTTGCCACAATACGAATACAGTAACAAACTTTGTTCAGTTTACCTTTCAAATATTCGACATGGCTAGACCAGTCTAGAAATTCATCTACATAAATACCTAGAAATTTAGTGCTATTTTTAATTTCAAGATCAATTTCACCCATCGTAATTGATTCGGGTTTTTTAGTTTTATTTAATTTTGTTCTGAATAGTATATAGTATTAGTTTTATCTTTATTTAGTATTAATTTATTTTTTTCAAATCAATCATTTACTAAAACAAAAAAGTGATTTGCATTTTGACGGATCTCTGGAATAGATGGTGCTCCAACTAGTAAATTTGTGTCATCAGCATATTGAGTCAAATTAAAATAATTTCTATTCATTTCATAAAAGTTTATGTCATTCAAATAAATAATAAACAGATATGGTGCAAGTATACTTCCCTGAGGGACACCCACCGTATTCTGTGCGATTTCCGACTTGTATATGTTCCCATTTCTGCATATCTTGACTCTCTGAGTTCTCTTGTTCAGATAAGATTCAATCCACTTAAAAGCACGTCCCCTTATCCCATATAGATTTAATTTCTGGAGAAGTAAGTTTCTGTCCAAGCAGTCGAACGCTTTTGACAAATCTAGGAATATTCCAAGAGCCATGTCTCCATCTTCAAGGTGCTTTAGAATTGCGTGCGTAAATTTTGAAAATGGCCGTTTGTGTGGATTTTTTCGTCAAGTAGCCATGTTGATTATCAGAAAATACCGTCATTCATAAAATCCATTATTCTTGTGCACACGACAATTTCAAACAGCTTGGAGAATCCAGAAAGCAGACTATAGGTCTATAGTTGTCAAACGAGTTTTTATCTCCCTTTTGCTTATACAGAGGCCTGATTGCTGCTAGTTTTAGACTCTCAGGAAAGATGCCCTCTCTAAGTGAATTATGATGTAACACTAGACGTCTATGATCGCTGGAATAATCCGACGGATGAGACTTGTAAGTACTTCATCGTCGCCAGAGCTATGTTTGTTTTTTATTCTTTTTGTTAGTTCTAAAATTTCTTTGGGATTAACAGGTTTTAAAAATAGAGATCTATCATTTTCTTGAATATTGATTTTGTAATTTACATGCTGAATTTTCTTCTGTAACTCTGGAATTGCATTAAGTAAAAAAGTATTGTAATTGTTTGCAATTTCTGTAGGATTTCCAGCGATCATTGTGTCATTCACCTGTGAGTTGTTTCCAGTTACTTCTTTAAAGATGGACCACATACATTTATTTTTGTTATCCGAATTATTTATTCTTTTTTTATAACTATCAGATCTAGCTTTTATTAGTAATTGATCATATTCCTTTTTTACAAGGGAGTAAGATTCATTGAAGTTGTTATTTTTGCGTTTTAGCATTAAAAGAATATCTAATCTATTTTTAACATTTTGTATTTGTTCGTTTTTATGATACAATGGCTTTTTTTTCCGCCTTTGACCCATACTGACTAATTTTTTTGGAAAGTTCTCGTTAAAGATAGATAGAAAAGTTTTTGCCTACTCACTTCACTAAAAAATCTTTTATAATAGCTGATTGTTTTGGGGACATGATTACAACTTAACACAATCTTCTGGGCAACATGATCTGAAATTGTGGTGTCAATTACACAACTTGAAATATTTTCCTCTGCGACGTTTGTAAAAATATTGTCTATACAGCTTTGCGATGATGGTGTAATTCTGGTATTTTCTGATATTGTCGGATATAAGTCGAAAGAGTTCATAACCGACAAAAGTTGTGATTTAGAATTGTTTTGTTTAAGAAATTCTATGTTGAAGTCACCAGCAATAAATACCTTTGTATTTTCATTAATTATTTTCACCAAAATAAGCTCCACTTTTTTTAGGAATAATTCAATGTCACTTTTGGGGGATCTATAAATCACAGCCACAACAAAGAGTTCGTTTTCTAGATTGAATTCCACGCAAGCACATTCAAAAACACCTTCAACTGAAAGATTGTCAATTTTCCGCTTTCTTGAGAATGTTATGTCCCTATGTAAATACACCGCTACTCCTCCATATCCATTTTTTCTACAGAAGTATGATGCTAAGCTGAAGTCAGATATACTGGTTGTCTTCAGTTCATCTACCTTTCTCCAGTGTTCAGAAATGCATAAACATTTGCAGTTAGAGTGCTCTTCAAGCAAAGCTGTTATCATATCCACACAGTTGCCCAATGATTGCACATTTTGATGCATTATAGCGAAATTATTTTTGTTTCTTTTATTTAAATTTGGATCCGATTTAGTGTGACTTATTTTTACATTTTGGTGGAAGGTTTTATTTAGGCAAAATTTTCTTGTTGATTGGTGGCATTAAAATTAACATATTCGCGCTGTATTTCGATTTTTTGAAGAAATGCTGGACATTTGGGATCTCGGACACTATGCATCCTGTCAGTGAGATTTAATCGTTTGCAGTTTGGACAATTTAGGGGTGTGTCACTGGAGCAAAGATTTGGTTCATGCTTTCCACCACATTTGAAGCAACATGCATCAGCCTTACAATATTTCGAGACGTGCCCAAAATTGCAACATTTAAGACACATTGCTAAATTTATGTGTTCTTGAATGTATACTTTTGTAAGGTCAAAAGTCAGATTATTCCTACATTGTTTTTTCGTGATGAACTTTTTTTTTTTCCACATTCTCTCCAAAAGCATTTTTCATTTGAGGGTTGTCTTGTATGAATTCCCTTATGAAGCTATCAGGTTTATAGCCTGCTTCTATGCCTGTTATTGTTAACATTGGGTCATTGTTTTGCAAATCTTTGGTGTAGAGTTTGTCGTGCTCTTTTAGAGTTTCTTGCAGTCTTTGTTGTTGAGTTGCATTTTGGCATACTGCTATTATCCCACCAGTTTGTAGACGTCTAAGGCTTTTGAATGTTTGGCTTGTTCCCATTTGATTCAGTTTTCCCTTCACTTCTTTGAGAATGTCCATAGAATCTTCTGAGTTTTTGGCTTTTATTA